ATCTATTGATGCTTAGAAAGATGTTTTTGAAAGCGCCGGTGGTGAGTAGCCGAGTACGCGAGTGGCCGAGTAGCCGAGTGGCCGAGTGGCTGAGTGGCCGAGTGGACTACTTTTTGGCTCTTTTTTGCGAGACACATCTAATCTGTTTCGGTGCTATGATCTTGTACTGCAGGATGAATTGAATGTCTTGAAAATTGGGATCAAAGACGAAATGGAACAGTTTCCATCCCTCATTACCAATGTAAAGGATCTAAAGAGAAAGAAAGAATTAGAGAATCTTATATCTGTGTACGATGAAGGTGAGGCTCGCTTTCTTGTTATGAGAAATCCTTCGGATCTTTTCTCGCATTTCAGCTCAGTCCATGACAATGGAATTGTTAAAATTTTTAGATTGTCGAAAGTAATCTGGGATTGCATTTTACTTTGCTCTCATTGGTCCAGAATACTCACGCCACTCTCTGAACCAATCACATGCAAAACTAAAACCAGCCGCGACTTGGTCGCCCGCGTTTTCCCGCGCTTTAGGCAGTTTGGTTGTTTTTACTTTGAATTCTGATTGGCTCTCATAGGAAATTTCCTTTCTTCTGATTGGCTGCGTGATTACTTTGGTTTTGCGACACTCAATCGAAAAACGTTCTAAATCAAAGCCACAATGATTGTTTTTGTTACCTCTCTGAGAGAGATGTCAAGACATCTTTGACGAAACATCAAACATAACTGCGCTCGCATACTCGCTTAGTCTTACATTTGTCGCATGTTATCACAGCGCAAAACACCATCAAGGAGAGAGTTTGTTATTTGACGATACCGAAGAACGGTTGTGAAAGAGGCCAATGCTTATTCAAATTGACTCACTTTCCAAATTTTAATCCCGACTTATAAGTTTAGCGGTAACATGCGATCGTCTATTTTTCAGAAATCCAGTTTTTAGAGCAAAATTATGACATTGCTAAATGTAATGTTTGGATGAGACAAGTAACGGAGATACAAAATAAGGTTGGTATGTTCAAATTAGAATGTAACATGTGTTATCTCCAAATTCCAAGATTACTGCGTCTTAAATTAACTGTTGTTTTGTTTTTGATACAGTGTCGAACAATTGTGGCAGAAAAAATTGTGCAAAGGTTTGATGTTGTCAAGGTTCCAAGGTAAGTTTCATGCATGTAACTGATAATCACAATAGACCGCTGAAATGTTACGTCATGAACGGCATGCCGTACTGTTTGGAATGAGAGTTTCCTAGCTCATTGTAGGGGTCACCTTCAATTCTGTAGTCGTGCATATAGTTCAATTTTTTTTTTCTTTGTTTTAAAAATTAGGAACACAACCATCAATTATTTGGCAGTGGATATGATTATCAATCTGGTGAGTCAGCTCTTGATTATAGCAACCTTTGGCAGTGACGACTAGAACGTGGGCGACTTTTGTCCGTTTGGGTCCTGGGACGCGACCGTCGCCCATTGCGAAAGTGATTCAATAGTAAAAATAATGTTTTTGTGGTCAGTCCGTCTCGCCAAATGTTGTCGTATGCAATCCGCGTCAATCTTTTCCATCCCTAATCATCCATGTTCTTGTCTGGTTTATTTTTACCCGCTTGTTGTTTGTGTACCCTAGTGATTGAGTATTTCTTAGCTGGTTATCTGTGAAGAAGTTATTCTTTATGGAAGATGTAAAAGTGACGTGTTACACTACTTCCCCCGGTTCAACTGACGGAAACCCGTAGGGAGGGAGGGGGGGATTGAGTAAGGTATCTAACAGTTTTATGTATGGAAAAGGGTCTTCGCTTAATGTACGAAGTGTTAATTTTTTTTCTTTCCTTATTTTAGAGTCTGACTTGTGGAACAGGGTTTTACAGCAGTAAGGTTCACGAGACAGTGTGGAAAGGTCGCAAGCTTGTGATCAGAGACAAAGAAACTGGTGAGTTCGTTCGAGAGGGGCTGTAATTCACTCAACAGTCAATTCCAGTTTATGACAGCCAATCAGAACGAAAGAAAATATCGCAACTAGCCAATCAGAGTTAAAACATGCAAATTGCGTAAAGCGCGGGAAAAAGCCAGTGACCAAGACGCAGTTGGTCTTAAGTTTGAGTGTGATTGGTTAAGAAAGTGGCGCGAGTCTTCTGGAAATCGGAGAAAATATCGAAAAACAAATCAGTCCTGGATTACTCTTGAAATGGTTTTCAGTCCGAGAAAAACAGAGTTTGTTGTGTTGTCTGCTCGTCCGCGTAGAGAAGGACTGGTATCCATAAGAGTAACAGAAGTTTCTTCAATTTGAGCGGACGTTATCTGTAGGGTCAAATGAAGAATTTTTTCATTTCTCGTTCACTTTACAACCATAAAGCGACTAATTTCAGTCTCCTTCCCTTCTCTGCTATATTCATATCATAATTTTTTTTTATTGCAGGTGAATTTTTCGATGATTTTTCCGGGAATGCAGACCATAAAGGTGAGGCGTCTTGGTGGTTTTTGTAGGAGCGTTTTGGAAAAGGTTTTTTTCATCAAACATGCATTGTGTGAAGTACATCTAGCTCCTGTTTGTCATAAGTAATCGATGCATTGACTTTTCCCATATTTAGAAACTGTGCGTCAAGTACTTGGCTTAGAGGAAGATCAAGTGGCGGAAATTAGTGGCGATCATGAAAAATATGAGGTTAGAATTCTCAACAGTATGCGGGAAATGAAAGGATCAATAACTTAAAACACGTTTTTAGCAGAGAAATTAGGCATCATGGAAGTTTGGCATTTCTGAATCACCTTTAGTGGGATATTGGTCGTTTTGTCTATGCTTGGAATATCCTGGGGTTTTTTGTAGTGATTGTTGTTGTTCTGAGTTGTTTATCAGTCGATAATCTATCTTTCACGATGTTTCTTTTTTTAAATTGCAGATATACTTTGAAAGTTCGTCAAGAAATAAAACACTGAAAGCTGGATCTTGGTAGGTCAAATACAAACCAATGTTTTACTTCCTCTCTCCCACAGTGATGCGGTTTCGACAAATCGATGAATATGAAGGGATCGAAATGAAACTCAAACTTTTTACCTCATTTCGTCCCATTTTAGCAACACCAAAATTTGGCACTCTTGTAAACCGCTCAATTAAAATGTTGCTAGGGTTTCATGTATCTGCTAGGTAATATGCGCGAGTAAACATGCTTATTAAGCCGTTGAAAGCCGCGAAAAAAAATAAAGCAAGAAATAGTAAGGGCCGGCGGAAAAACCCAAGTGCAAAGCGGAGAGAAACACGCTACCAGTCAGATGTTCGGAAACTCACGCAGCGAGTACTAAGCGTGAGATGGAAACAACCAATGATAATGCCCGTAAAACATGCTACCAATGAAAAGTGTGGGAAAATAGGTAACTTTTTATAAGGGCGGGAAGGCACGCAACAAGTAATTTACGCAGGAAAACACTTGGCCAGTTATAAGGATCGGAGAGCGTACAACAAGAGACTGGTACGGGAAAGCAGGTAACTATTGATAAATGTAGAAAAACACCAGAAGCACAGAGCGCTAAGCACTCGTCTCGCTAGTTGGTTTTCAATGCAGTGTTGAAAAATAACAAGAAGAAAAGAATGCAATACTTGAACGCTCAAACATGAAAATCGAATGAACAAAGTGTATTTATGTACTATTTTCTACAGGTTTCTGTACCAAATATTTCCAGGCACCACGTTACAGTGTCAGCGATTGTTGTTCAAGGCAGCCAAGACGGGAGAATTGGATACAGTCCAAAAATTGGTACGAAAACTTTTATAATCTAAGGCATGTTTTTTGTTTTGCGTAATCCGAGCTCTTTTGATGATGAAACTAATTCCTTGTTGACTAGTCCATAAGTATTTGGCATGTTTAATTCCTGCGTGACGCTCAACTGATGGCTGAGAATGGCAAGTGGTCCAAATTTTTAGCAGTCCGCTGAAAAACAACGCGTTTTGTTAGACGGCGGACTCGTAAAAAAGGCTTTCAACCATTTTTCGAGTTGAAAAGGGTAACCCACCAACCAACCAACCAACCGATCGAACTTTCGAACTTAAACCGTAGACTTCTTTTTTTAGTGGCTGTCTAATCGACTGTTTACTGGACTGACTGAATGACTGGCCGCACGACTGATCGATGGCCTGATTACCTGCGTAATTGACAGAGTGATTGACTGTCTGGCAAACGACCTCTTTCATTGACACACTAGCTGGCGAGCCAACTGATTAGTAACTGATTGACTAATTGACTCGCCCGCTGACTAACTCGTTACTTGACTAACTTACGGAATTATTATTTCATTTACTCAAAAGCTTACTGAATCACTATTGATTTGCTAGATCGATTTGCTTTGACAGGTGGCCTTCTTTAATGCAGACAAGGACTTCATCAAGTCCAAAGAGCATGGGTCTGGCAATACAGCTCTGCACATGGCCTGCAGGCACGGACATTTTGTAAGTATCGATCACGTTTACTTTTTCAAAACTTTTCCACTCTCCTTTATACGGCTGCCGCTAAATTTCTTGAACTCTCAAATTCTTTTGCGGAGCCTGTGACAGTCACAAACCAAGCTCGATGAGTGAATTTAGACCAGAAGTACTTTAAATCACAAAATGAAACAAACAATACAGCGGTAGAGGACCGATTTATATTTAGCTGTTACGTTGCTGTAGGTTTATTTGCCCTTTCTGTTTTCTTTGAAATAATTGGTTCGCAGGACATTGTGTTATATTTGTTGGAAAACGGAGCTGACATTGATATGTTCAACAATCACCACAACACGCCTTTTTTCCTCGCCACGGAAAGCTTACAGAAAGAGATATGCCAGGTAAGGAACAGTGATTTCACTTGGTTGTCCATCTCCCATGACCGCTTCAAAGAGAGAGATCGCGAAGCCTTATGGGAGTCGCACTGGACTCCGGA